ATTAATTTAAAAATATTGGTTCTCTTTAAAATTTAATTTATAATAGTATTTTTATTTTATAATTTTATGAACTTACTCCTTCATATTATCAATATACTATTTATAATATATATATATATATATGATATTAGAAGTCTTATGAAAAAAAATTAATATTAATTGGCCTCTCCAAAATTAACTCACAAGATTCGTCACTGATTATGAGGATCAAAGTACTAATTATGAGGATTAGAGTGCTAGGTATAATTGAAGAATGAAGATGCATGGTTGGATTTGATTTTTCTTTATTTTCATCCATCATCAACTGCTTTTGGCATGTAGCACTTATCATATCTAAATTGGATTTTATTTATTTATCTCTTTATGCTTGTAATGGTTACGTGTCCAATTTACCTAGTGAAAAAAACACTCATTAAGAATTTATTATTATATTATAACTTGTAATAAAATAGCCATATAATATCTCATTAAAATCTATATGGTGTCATATTAAAAAACATATATTAAAAACACATGTATATGTAAGCATTGGACCTACCCATTGATCAGAAGATCACACTTGAGGGCTCGAGTCTCTACAATAATTTTCAAGTTTAGATATAGTCCGTTGGAATATGTTATTATAAGATCATTATTTTTATTTAATTTTAAAATATATTTAATAATATGTTTTTAATAGTTTAATAATAAATATAGTTAATTTCAACGGACGAATGAAATAAATTTTGAAAAGAATCAATTAAATAAGATTTGATTCAGTTAAATTCATGAACAAATTTAACATGTATGTGTGTATATGCATGTACACACATCACCTAAATTAAGTTAATTTACCTTTTATTTTTAATTAGATATATTTTTCTTAAAAAAATATTAAGTTATACAAATAATTAAGTAGCAAACACGCAGCTGATTTTGTCAAAAACATTAAAAGATATCTCCACTTGGATTAATGCTGATCCAAAACAGAAAATAATTGAAATGAAAATGATTTTTCTTGCTTAAACACCTAGTCACCCCAAAGTCCAAGCAATATAAGTATGTTAATCTTTGTAAAGAAATCACACCTTTTGATAATTACTATATAATCTTTGAATTTATATTTAATATACTGTCAATGTATATATTTTATACACTGTTAGTTAATAAGATGATATCATTTTATTAATGAAATGATCAAATGATGTCATTTCATTAATGAATAAATTTTTTAAAAAATATTAATTTTTATATATTTATTTTAAAAATTAATATTTACTTATTAATAAAAAAATATCATCTAATTTATTAATAATATATAAATTTTATACACTGACAATATATCAAATATAAATTCATAATCTTCTCACCACATATTACTACTACTTTCCAAGCTGTATCTAGCTAGCTTTTGGGTATTTAATTCCTCTTATGATTTTTTGAATATTATATGAAGAAAAAATTATTAGCATCTCTTTGCTTGGCAGGTAAGCTAACATATATAGGAAAGATAATGTTCATTTAAATGAGAATTTTTGTCCTTGAAGTTATTAATATTTAAATTTTAAATTATTAAAATTAAAAATTTAATATTTTATGATAATATCTATGTTACTGTTGACATTTATATGTGAAATTGAAATGTATATAAATAAATACATAAAAAACAAAGCTGGCATGATTAATGTTAGGATATCAACTTGTCTGATATTTTTATGTTCAACCTTCTCAATGACATCATTTTCCATGTTCTCACTCATAAATAAAGTAACCAAATATATAAAATGAAGAACCCCATGTTTCTTTTTAGGTGAAAATTTCATAAGCACGATTGATATACATGTTTAGGCAGAGATCAATTTGGAAGATGACACGTACGACCAATGACCAATCAAAAGGTGGCACGTAAGGTTTAAGCGGGATTTTTGGTTTCTCATTGAAAAGACTTGTAGTCCAATCATAAATGATTCTTATGGTTATGGTATACCGAAATCCTTTCATCGATCTAAATCAAGCTTGAATGTTGTGGAAGCTGGCCAATGAGTGAATAAAGAAAAAGAATTAACCTTTTAAAAATAAAAAATTATTAGATATATTGATAATGATATTTTTTAATTTTATAAATAAAATTAAAATAATAAAATATATCTTTTATGTATTTAAAAAAATAATTAAAAAATAAAATATTTATCATCATCTTAATTTCATTTATAAATTAAAAAGTTTCACTATAAATATATTAAATATCATCTAACTCGATTTGATTAAAATATCAATTTAAACATGATCTATTAAATAATTAAAATTTAAAATAATTTTAATTTAAACAACTTAAAAAATTAATTTAAATTTAAATTAATTAAATTTTAAAATTCAATAATTTAAATTCGAAGTAATGTGAATTCAAATAACTTAGAATACCAAATATGAGTGATTTAATTGAAAAAAAACCAGAATATCCTTCAAACTGAAATAATCCAGCCGATTTGTTTAATTGACACCTCAAATGTATACTATATGGTATCTAAAAATCTAATAGTTTTGGATTGATCTGGTAATCTCCACATACATCGAGACAAACCAAACATATGGTTTGATTTGCCTTTAAAAAATATGATTGGCCAAAACCAAACTTGAGGTTTGATTGCAAAATCAATTTCAAACTAACTAAACCAAATTGAGCCATGCATGCTCCTAGCAAACGAATAAGGAGACAGAAAGGAAGGAATATATTATATGTAAAATATAGAAAGTCAATATTTCTTTAAAATGATATTAATGTAGCGGCATGTGGCATGCCCATATCCTTAGGCATTAATTCTTTACTTGATTTGTTTCTCTGTCAAATAAATTTGCGTCTACAACAAAAATCATGTAATGGAAATTTATCCACGTTGAGACAAATTGATTTTATTATGTATGGTTGCCTTGATTCCACGAAAGCCACGTCAAAGTTTTGAAAAAAAGATTTGGAAAAAATAAAGTGAGAAATACACCTCTTGCAATATAAATAAAAAATTAAAAATTTTTTTGTTTGAAATCTCTTAATGTTTAATAATCATTTTAAATTTTAATTAATATAAAATTAAATCTAATCAAATCTCATAAAAAAAAATAAGTTCTTCCGACGCTTATTTTTTTTTATTTATAAAACTCAAAATTAAAACATTACTTAAAAAAAATTAAATTTCTTAATCACTTAAATAAGTCATTTGTTTAACGGACAATATTTTTTAATTTACAACAAGAGCATTCGAATACCTAAGTCATGATATTCAAATGCTATAGGTAAATTTTCGCATTAACTGTCCATCTCATAGCATTGGGATGTCCAAGATAAATTTTCAGACATTGATTTTAAATTTAATCATTCAAATTCCTTTGTTTATTTTTTGTTTCAAAGACTATTTATTAACTTTTAATCATCATTCTTCAGTATTTATACATACTACCTAATTATAAACTTTATTTTCATAGAAGTCATTCAAGAATATTTAAGAGAAATGAATTTATACTAACGTAAAATTTTTTAGTTTTACATATTTTTTAATGATTAATTTTAATAAATTTAAAAAATATGAAAACCAAGTAAAAAAATTAATTTTATCTTTTAAATTTATTAAAATCAATAATAAAAAAAATATGATTCTTTTTATGTAACTTAATCTCTTCCCTTCATTCTTTGCTAAAATATATACATATATATATATATATATATAACAAAAAAATATATATATATTTATATATATATAACAGAAACAATAGTGGGAAAGTTTCTTGGGCCGTTCAATTTTTGGGCTCTTCATGAAATCTACTTTCTCATTGTATTTATAAATCAATTGTAATAAAATGATAGAGATTTCTAATCAGAGTTAAAATTGATAAAATTAAATGATTAAAAACTTAACTTATTGTAATAAAACGATAGAGATTTGGATTATTATTAAATTTTTGTTTGAAAATTTTTAAACTTTTTAGCGAATAACTTATTGTATTATACCAAAATTTGGTATCAAATTAAAGAAAATTCCACACTAAATTCATTGCAATAACAGGCAGACTCTTATATAATTTTTAGACTGATTGAGCAATTTGTTGGAAGTTGAGTTAGTTAGCAAACAAGCTGAAAAAAAAAAAAAATCAGAAAGTGTCGAAGATAATTTTTCGAGACACGTTACTCAATTCAACAAAGCCATACCCTTTCTGTGGTATAGTTCTCAATCTTTGTTTGGTCATTGGTGTGTGCGTCATATTGTTTCTGGTTGAATCAAATATATACAAGTAGGTTAACTTAATTAGCTCTCGGGTTGTGCCAGGGTTCGATTTTGCTCTCAGATCTTTTTCAAATTTCCTCAAATAAAACAATAAAAAAAATGTAAGAAATTGTAAAAATTATAATGATTGAATTTTATAATCATGTCTCTCTGTCTCTCCCTTCTAATCTATTTGACAGTGGATTGAATTTTGTGTTTCGTGTGTTATGTTCCATTATCAAGGCCACCCCCATAAATGGATTTAGCTGATGTAGCTGTCACTAGCAATTGTTCTTTGCATTTCATTTCTATTACAATTAGGATAAAATCATTATCATATTTTTTCACACTTTACTTAGTCATGAATGGTTGGACTAGTTGGACATAAAATGTTCGACAATCCAACGTTGGCCTGTGTAAAAGTGGGTGTGCTTGGTGAAATGGAAGGGCCTCCCATTGTTACAAACAGAAATCTCAAAGGAATTTCTCTATGGAGATGCATGGAAAGAGAAAACATGGAGGAGAAATTTTCACTGTACAAGGAGCAAGCCAATTCCTTTTCAATTGTTTTTACCTACCAAAATCACACTAATGATAACAGCTATCCCTGAATTATGGTGACATGAACAAGATGGCCTGAAGTGATCAATATTCAGTGGAGTCAAACTCTGACCATTTTATTTCTACTTACAGCTAATGGTATAAATTATTTGATCTGATGATAGTATGATATTTCATCCACTGAAGAATTAGTGAAAACCTTGCAATTATACATTTGGATTGAAATTTGAAGACATAGCAAAGTTAATATACAAATACCTAGTTCTTCGGAATATAAAGAAGTTGGAATAAAGACAGAAGAGAAGCTGCAAATAGAAGGGAAAAAAGAAAGAGATATGTTGGATGAATCCAGCGTGGTATTATCTTCCTGAGGATTCTCATTGCGAAATTTCATCATCAAAGGGCCAAAGCCACTTGCTACAATTTCAGTCCCATCAATTACTGATGTGTAATGCACTCCAGTACAATTTCTTCTTTATTAGTATCTGCATTTTGTTCATTTGTTACCACTTTTCCATCTTCTCTCTTCTTCCCCCACAACACACTATAAAGACCTCCAACCAGCAGGACAACCCCACCAACACTGCAATATCAATGATATTCAAAAAAATATGGACCTTTCTCAATTTTTATATGCTAGCCGTTGCTGATATGAAATAAAATCAAATATTTGGAAAATGTCACCAAATGAACGGTCATGCTTTCATAATCACATGTTAATATGCATATATATATATATATATTAATTTAGACTAAATAATATTATTTGTGTGCACTTACATGTCTTCATACGTGTTGTATGCATGCATGCATGTACAAGAAAAAGAGAGAGTAATAGTATGCACCTTCCCCAGTGAAGGGTTTCCTTCCACAAGAATGCAGAGACGATTGCTGTTATTACAAGAGCTAATGGAGTGAAAATTGCTGTGAAAACTGGACCTTTCTTCTCTATAGTCCAGACTTGCAGCCAGTATGTTATGCCAGTGACAATTACACCCTGCCATGATCATTTTACAGTCAGCTAAAGAGGCTCATCTATACGATCAACCCTGTGTTTGCATAGATGTGTACGAGTTCATCAACGTAAATTCATGTATATATGTTGAAAAGGCCATGGTCTAGTGACAAAAGGATAGGCAGAGGCTCTGGGAGACCAAATTTCCGATCTAGATAAGCAACTATAATGTAGAATTTACTTTTGAAGGTATATGGAGGTAATATAATCACTATAGTTTGATTTGATAGGCTCAAATTAAAAGGATTTCCACCATCTAGTGCGACAAATTTGCACTGATAGGTTAAAGGACTTCTTTTCCAGGACATGCCATTGAAAGAGACTTGAAGAAATACTTGATTTTTCTACCTTTAGGGTGCTGGAAAAGGTAAATAACAATTGGTTCGATGACATTCAAGTTTATTCAATAAATTTAATGAAGCCTTCATGATTTTTATAGAGAAGAATTTGATCGTTGTTTCTCGTTTCTAAAGACTATGTTAATTTGATGGATTCAGTAATTATTTTCATATGCACATGAATACAAGTGATAATGCTTGAGATTAACATACACAATAGGCTACAGAGAGAAGATGAACATCCCATCCAAGCTTCCAGGCTGATGGATTTCTCTCTGCTGCAATGGCCCAAAATGTGGATTGTATGCAGCTAAAGAAGCATTGTAGAGCAGTAAGACGTATTTTGGCTGGATATTGCTTGACTATGCGACCCTAAGATCAAAAACATATTGTCAAAGGAAAAATAAGAAGGCATAGGAGAAAAAAAAACATGGGGGAGAAAAGGCATAATGAATGAAAAAGAGAGTATTGCTAATTCAGATCAACCTGTAACACAAGCCAAAAGGACCAAGCTGTATTGGCTGAAATCATGATAAGAGAACCTTTTATCCACTCTCCAACGGAGTAACTCTTAATCAGAGAGTCTGAAGTTTGCTTTTGAGTTGCTGGATACCAGTTCATGAAATTTATAGGTGGCCCCTTAACAAAAGCAAACACCAAGGCTCCAGATAGACTGATTACTGAACCTAACACCTTGGAGATTCCTGGCAGTCGTCTTATGGATATACTTTCCATCCTGAAATATTCAAAGTCAGTCCTGGAAGAGATCTTAAACATATTTTCTTCTTTGTCAGAAATAATATCTTGTTGTGCTGGCATGTTTTTTTCTTATTATACCTTAAGCAAACAGCAATGATAAAGGTAAGGACAGGAATGGTATTGGTGGTGGCAGCTGCAAATGTTGCAGTGGTGTAGTTGATTGCAACATAGTAGAGATTTAAACTCAAGGTGAGCCTGAATTTTCATTTATAAGGGACTGTTAGAAGATTCAAATATGCATCGATATTGAAATATAACATCAACTAAGATCCGGTTCACATACCCACATAAGGAAACTAAGAAGATCTTGCAGAGTAAATTGTATGATAGAGAGGTCTGCTTACTGCAAATCAGAAGTTTCCCAAACTATAAATAAGAAAAATGCGAGAGACTGAGGGTTAATGTAAGTATGAAATATTAGGTACTTCAAGTAACCTTTCAAGGAAGAAAGCAAATGGAGCTAAGGCGACAGTGGCAAAGGCTTGTCGGTATACCACGAAAACATAAGGGTTCATTCCTTTGGCAATTGCTGCTTTTGAAAACAGGGCCATGCCTGCATAGATACACTGCACAAAGAGCATAGAAATGTAAGGCTTTTGGTTCTCCATAGCCATTGCACCTCTAAGTAAACTCTTCATGTTTTGCAATGTCTCTTAAGCCTCTTTTTTGTGTGTATCTTCAATTGATAAGCTCTTCAATATATAGAGAAACCAAGCACTCAGCAGTCTCTCCTTGGCACTATTTTATTTTTTTCTATATTTTTTTCCTCCTAAATGTCAATTGTTATTTAGATTAAAGTGGAATGGGCTTTCTGCTTCAACCAACTACTAAAAATTTCTAAAAAAGTCATTTGAGCCTTATCACAGTGGCATGGAGGACCACTAGAAAAACACTTTTTGCCCTACGTTTCATGATTCAAAGGAGACAGGAGCAGGGGTTAGTGAACAGTAGATTGAAAACATACCTTTCCTTGGTATCTGCCATCAGCAATTCGAATGACTAGCATCTTATTTTTTTCGGGCAACATAAAATCTTGCTTAATAACAATTACGCATGTCTTTTACCTATAGAACTCCCCCCAAAACCTTGATTGGAGGTAACGGACTGTCATCCAAAGGCATATGACTAAAAGCACCAACACGTTTATTATTATTTGGAGCACCATAGATTTATGAATGTTTGTATTCTCAAATGAGCAGTTTTTTCCATTTTAATTAGTTTGAAACCCTCTCTAAGTCATATGCGTAGTTTCTCTAAGGAAAACAATACACCAACCAATCACATCATTATTAGTGCTAATAAGAACCACTAACAAGGTTGAGTGGACATGCACTAGACCAAAAATCAGGCCAACTCGGATTCTTGTAGCATAGTACAACATTCCATTACACAGAAAAGTCTACTGGAGATTAAAGTCTCCGGGGGGCAGATGTTGAGTTTTATTATGTCAGTGCAGAAATCAAGGAAATATGAAGTTAAATTTAGATAAACTGATAAAGTACTTTTACAATTGCAAGATCTGTTAAGATATGTTATTGCTTTTGCTTTTAGATCCTGTTCATAGGCTAGGCTATCCGTAATTGCTTATTGAAGGCTGCTCGGCAAGAACCGATTCCAATGGCTTTCGGAGATCCTTTTCCATGACAAGAGAAGCAAAGGACAGATTGCAAAGTTGAAACTGTGGTAATTGGTCATGCACCTTTGAGCTCAATGGATTTCTCTCAAATTTCAATGACAAAAATATTTCTCCTGAGTTTCTTTCAGGATAAGGCATACAAGCATTTGTTAACACAGAGTTCTCCCCACATGACATTTCTGACATATTCAACACATTCTTCAACTAGCAAGGTTGCAGCTTTTGAGTCTAGTTCAGAGTTCACCTTGGCATGACCTTGTCTGTTTTCACTATTTAGCTTCATGGAGTTGATCCTGCCGTGCCATACGTCTACTTCCAAGGCCCGTACCCCCCAAATCTCAGTAGTGATGCACCATAAAAGGTACAATATGATCCATAACTAGCTAATCTTGCTTGATAGCTGCCCACCATGAGACACCACGGAACAAGCAGCCTTGTTGCTATTGAAGAATAGAACAATCACTTAATCTGATTAATCATCACAAGCTTTATCCTGTTAGTTTTGAGTATATCTTACCACAGCGTGAACCATTGCAATATTTACTAGTCAACAGAAAAATCATGAATAAGAAACATGCTGTTTTCTGGTGAGTATGACTAGCTGATGCTTCCACGCATATCCTCTTCTAAAAAATGAGCATGTGACCTTATCGCAAAGAGACCATAAAGAGATTCCTGAAATGAAAGCTGGTTTCATGTCCTTTTCCAGAAATTAGACATGTGTTCTTTTAATTTGATAAAAGTAGAAACACAGAACAACTCTTTAAAGACAAGAATGGAACAACTTCATTAGAAACCACCAGCGAAATGGTAAAGCACGTCCCACCTTATGATTCTCGCCACTTGCTACAGCAACAACATTCTTGTCCTTGAAGTGTTTTCTAGGTTCCTAATAATAGTATTATCCATTGATCATTTTTAACAAATTCTTTAATGTGGAGAATCATTTGAGAATGCTGTGTCTGGAGACACTAAAGAGCTCAAAATTTATCAGTCTAAACTGTGGAATGAACGTCAAGATTGGTGAAAATCGACAACCTCCTTTAATAACTTGAATGGAAGACCAAACACCAATGTATGGTGGTCTAATCAATAGCATATACTTGAATCCAGGGGCAAATTTTGAGCCAGATTTTGTTTTTTAAAAAAATACATCACAAAGAATAAAAAGCTTGTCTGGTATCACATGGACATTTTAACGTGAAATATTTGAAGTTTTCTCAAACTATATGTTATTTCTATCTCTATGAAGTGTGATAGAAAGGTTCAATAATGGCATTTGAAAATAGAATTAAGCTCTCTTCCTCCAATAATGCAACTTCAACATTTCAATCCTTTCTCCATTTTTCTTTCCATTTCGAGTACTATTTCAACATGTTATGTTCTTCTTTTGCTTCATCAACTCTTCTTTTGATGAATTCACACTTTAGCATCTCTTTTGTGAGTGCATTTACCTTTAGAAGTTCTTGTAATAAACAGAAAAAGGTTGGAAATGAAATTCTTGTACTAAACTGATCTTTCTTAAGACCATATCAGATAAACTAATGTTTCATTTTTGAAAATTTTGAAGGTAATTATCATTACCGAACTGCAGTTCCTTGCTTTTGGCAGCTCAAACACTACTTATAGCCCTCTTATATTAAAATTCATTCAATCCTTACCTCAATAACCCAATGGACATCAATTCAGGGATAAAAGCAACCAACAATAGAACTAGTAATAGTCTGAATTCCCTGGAAGAAAGAAAATTAAAAACTCTTGAATTGTATATTAAGTAACTTAGACGTACAAGATGATATCATTCTGCAATAATATGTGTAGGGACAGTTTTGTGTAAAGAGATGTATGCTTGCCACAAAATACACGTGGATGAGAATTTTAGACAAATGTGGTGAAGAGTCAGTTTCAGGAACAACATTCCTTTGAAAGAACTAAGCACGTGTTCCTATTTCGATACTTTTGCTCGATAGCAACTCCCTTTTCAAGAGTGTTTACTTATCAGGCCTACCATTATTTTTTTTTCTTCAAAATGTCCTTAGAAATTGACTATCAATACAATCTTTAGACACCGAGGGATAAAGGGATTGCAGAGACATGGATTTGAATCCGAACCTATTAGATATCACCTTTTAAAATTGAATGACTGTATGGATAAACTGAACTACATTTTAGGTTCACCAATGTGCGACACAATTCATCCCCTAGTCCCAACTCCCAATCATCTCCACTCTGTCCAATAGAGCAGTTCTTAGACTTCATCAGATGATAAAGTACACCAGTGTCTCAATGTAGTGTGTTGAGACTTGAATCATTATTGGTCAGTGATTTGAGTTTTTCTTCTGAATGGACGGAAATGCATCGTGGGTTTTAGATGCAGAAGGAAAACAAACAATTAAAAAAATGAGAAGGAACTTGAAATTTGGTTCAACTCCATTGCGCAATGTTCCAGGATTGGGGTATCATGTTTAATCTTGGAGGACTGCAGGAAGTGCTTGCCAACGAGATATGATATGTCTCTGTCAAGTGTACAATCTCTGATCTAGCAAATTTACGTGGATACTGTTGGGAGTTTTTAGTGATGCAAAAGGTATAATGATCTTTTTCTTCGTTAGAGGCCCCTGACAGAAAATCAAAGGATATTTGGGACATTTGTATCGACATAATATATCAGGTTTACCTGATACATTTAATGTCATATCAGCTCGGCCGCATCATTATTGTCCCTCATTGACCCACTAACTCTCATCTATAAATATGAACATCCGGGTAGTATTATGATAGGTTCCTTTTTACCTTAATCTCTTATCTTTCTCCCTTTTTGACAAGGATTCAAATAGCGGTCGGATAGCGGTGTCGCGGCCGCTATTTCGCGGTCGCGCCACTATCCGCCACCGTTATTGGAGAAAAACGGGGGAGAATTTGAATTTCGTCTATAGCAGTTGAATCGCGGCCGTGAATTGCGGTATAACGGTGAATAGCGGCAATAGCGGTCCGTTATTGCCCGCTATTACCGCTATTGCCACTATTCCTATTTTCATTCAAAAATTCAAAAAAAATATCATTTGATTTTCTTTAAAAACTTAAAATAAAAACAACAAGAAAGAAAATAAACATTAATTTACAAATTCAGCAAAAAAAACCCGCAAAACTTAAACTTTCAAAAAAATCAATTCTCTCAAGTTCAACTTCAATCAAAATCAAATATATGCAATTTAAAATAAACAATTAATTCAACACTCAATTTATCTTTTTTTTTTAATTTCCAAATTTGTCATGATTTTGTGTGTTTGGGATTAGATTGGGCTATGTTACATTAATAAAAGGAGGCAAGAGTTGCTGAGACTTGAAATAAGAGACAAGAGATGAGAGTGAAACTTGAGATTTATAGAAGCAAGCAGATAGCACACACCACATAAAAAGAGAACTGAGAGATGGGGATGAGGATAAAGGTTTGGAGAAAAAAAATTATTGAATGCAAAGTGAAGGGATGAAAAGTTGTGTGGATCTATGCAATTTAGTCAAGAGACAGGAGAAATAGACTTGAGGTTATTATTGTTGAAAATCGTCCATAACATGGAGGCTGTCAAGTTTGATTTACTGTAAGGTCATAAAAAACGATTCTTTTGATTCATAAATAATAATGCTCTTACTTAATTTATGAATACCTAATCACTTATTATTTGATTTATACATAATATAGTTCGATAATAATTTGATGAATACGATAATTAAATAATTAAATATATTATTCGTTATGATTATTTATTTTTTACATATTTATTTATCTCTTTTTATTTTTTAATTATCATATAAATAATTTTTTAAATATGAATATTTTACTATAAATATATTTTTTTAAATAAATAAAACACATGATATGATATAAATTACTTTTAAAATTATAAAATAAGAGGTTTTATGATTAATAATTAAAATTATTATATTTTATAGCAAATTGAGCAAAATTTAAAAAAATTCACGACCGCAATAGCCGCAATGACCGCGAAGGT